AATATAATTTTTAAGATAAAATTTTTCTTTTTCACCCCCTCCTCTCAGAAGTCCAGCCTGTCATGGCGTGAGGGGCCTGGATGGTTTAAATATTTTGCGCTCCGTTGTGCAACAATGGCTTCTCAGCACCATCAGGCCTGGCTGTGATGTGGAAGTTCTAAGTGCCCGCCTCCTCCAACTGCTGACAAAGTGAAAGTCAACAGGCATTGGGAAAACTCCCAGTGTTCTTCCTGGTGCAGGCATGCTGACAGGGCGGCAGGGAGTTTGTTACAGTCAAGTTCTTGCCAGGCCTGTGCCTACGCACACTTTTCACAGCAGAGCTCCCAGGAAGTCTTTTCCACATTGGCTTTTGTATCTGGCTTCCTGCTCTTTCGGTTTGTAGTTGCTTTAGAAGGCAGACATCTGGAAAGGCTTGGTGATTCATCTGTGTGTGTGAGATCTACGGAGAGAATCTATCCCTACCTGACACACCCACGCTGACTGAGTTGATTCCAAACATAGTCAGGCGATAGTTTCCAAGGCTGTAAATGTTTATGGGAGCAGACAGCCTCATCTTTGAATCAAGAGTTCGAATAGCCGCCCTCCTGTGGTGGCAGACAGCCCCACCTGGGCTTCTTACATACTCTACATCCACCTGCTGCCTCTTCAGGGAGGAAGGAAGGCATTTTTCCTGAGGACAGCCAGGCTGTCCCGTTTCCCATCATGCTCTACCTTCCTCCAAATGTAGCTTCTGTATCAATAGTGTTCTATTTGGGGGAGTTTTATTTTGAACATCAGCATGCTGCCCTCACTGGGGCCATGAGACGGTCTACTTTGCAACAGGGTCTATAGCAGCAGTTCTCAACCTGCGGGTTGAGACCCCTTTGGGGGTCAAACAACCCTTTCACAGGGGTCACCCAATTCATAATAGTAGCAAAATTACAAATAATTTTATGGTTGGGGGTCACCACAACATGAGGAACTGTATTCAGGGTCAAGGCATGAGGAAGGTTGAGAACCGCTGGGCTAAGGAAAACACCTCTACTTCTGAGTTCTTGAAAGTGAGACAAAGGCAGAGCAGGAAAGGCACGCAGGGGTCAGTACAGGCTGCAGAGGCCAGCGTTTGTCTCAGTTTCTTTCACACAGCCGGTTCTCCAGGTCTGTTGGCAAGCTCATTCCCAATGTATTTGGAAGGCTCCAAAGACTGGGATCTATGAGGGAAAAGGTTTAATAAGTCAGAATGTGGGCTCAGTCAGAAAAATAACCTGCCACGCTCATCCCGAACCCCACTGCTATCCCAGTGCAAAGAACAATGTGTAGCACATAACGGATGCTCAATAAATATTTGTTGAATAGCTGGAAGTATTTTAACTATATGCCCTATTCTCAAAAACATCCCAAACTATTTCTAATCACTGCCACTTACCACTTATTTTGAGGTCAGCACGTCATTTCTTCATTAAAAGGTGTCAGCACATTTAACGTGTGTGTGTGCTTGGAAGAAAACATGTTAAAAACAATGTACAACATAACAATGTTAAGCTTGCATAGGCCATCGGAAGGAGATCGATGGTGTAGTGGGGACGTTAAGAGTCGGCTGCTAGCCAGCATGTCTGCAGTTTGAAACCACCAGCTGCTCGGCAGGATAGACACAGGCCTTGTCCTCCTGTAACAAGGCACCCTCAGACCCCCAGGGACAGTTCCACCCTGTCCCACTGGGGCACTAGGAGTCAGACTCGACCTGACAGCAGTGAGTTTGGTTTTTATAGGCCATTTGGCCAAAAGTTTATTTGCTAAATACATATGAAGCAACTAAAATGGATGAAGCACACACTGCATATGAGGGAGACCAGGCTGAGTTGAAGTAAATGGATGTTGGCCTCAAGATGCTTGTGAAGAATGGAGTAGGGAGACCAGGAGCTGAGTATTATCAAGAAAGGGCATTAGGTGCCAGACAGAGCTCTTGGGAGGTATCCAGAACTGTAAGGGCTTGCATTCTTGTTGCCTAGACGGATGCTTCTCAGTGTTTGTTGAAGGAAGGAAGGAAGGAAGGAAAGAATTATCTCTTCCTTATTGCTGAACCTAAGTCCTTGACTTCAAAATCAAGAAAAACAAAACAAAACCACCCTCAGGAAATAACAGATAGTTTTGGTGTTTTGGTGGATCAAAGGAAGAAGCTGCATGAGGGAGGCGGGCTTGACAAGTGCATGCCAGCCTCAGTGAGGGCAGTCTATAGGGAATGGAGAGGGATGGGGTAACAGAGCAGGTGAGGGGAAGTGTTAGCCGGAAGTAGGCAGGGTGGGCAAGGAGAAGGAAGTAGGTTTTGTCTAGGAGGGAGGAGGGCATGCGTGCAGGGCAAAGAGGAGTTCATTGGATCCAGAGAAGGGAAGCCATGGGGGTGAGGGTTCACCTTTTGGGGCTCTCGGGCACATTAGGAACGTTAGCTTAGTACTGATGGAAAAGTGAAACAGAAGAGCACTAAGATTAAAGGCAGCAAGATCACTAAGATTTTTTATTCCAGTGGAAACAAAAACTACAAGGATCTCCCTTCATCCACTTTTTTGTTGTCCATCGGAGAGTGTAAGACATGACAATAATAATTTATGAATTACCAAGGGTTCATTATGAGGGAGGTGGGGAGGGCAGGGGAAAAATGAGGCGCTGATACCAAGGGCTCAAGTGGAAAGCAAATGTTTTGAGAATGATGATGGCAACAAATGTACAAATGTGCTTGACACAATGGATGGATGTATGATCGTGATGAGTTATATGAGCCCCCAATAAAATGATTTATAAATTAAAAAAAGAACGAACTTTTTCAGGTATCAGATTTTTCATAAAAAAAACCCCAAAACAACTACAAGGCTCTCTCACTGAAGAGATGCCAGGGGGATTTACAAAGAGCTCCACACTTGAACAATGGGAACGGAAGCTACTTCGACATGAAAGTGGAGCAGCGGTGGGATGCTAGGGAGGAGGAAGAGTTAGAAACCAGCCCCGGGCAAAACAAACAAACCAGCCCAGACTCACGCCTCAATGAGTGAGCATGACGTGATTGTCCTAGGAACCAGGCTGACATGGGTGGGGGTGGGGCACAGAGCTTAAACACGCTTCAGGCTCAAAGCCAAAGGTCAGTGGGGTGTCCAACGGGCTCTTAAATACCGGGTCATAACACAGTGTTTGAGCAAGCAGATGGTTTTGTCTTCGTTTTACAATAGGGCACTTATGTGCAGCGGCCCGAGTGGTACACATGTGCCTGGATCCGGACAGAAAAGGTTGGAGGCGTGAGTCTACCCAGAGGTCATCTGGAAGAAAGGCCTGTTGAGGGGTCATTGAAACCCTATGGGGTCACAGATGGGGTTGCCGTTGTGGGGGGTTAGCACTGACTCAAGGGCAACTGATAGTTGGCATTCATTTGAATGAATAGGCTACACTTCTGCCTTTGGGAAAGGGAAGTTCTCCCCACCCTGGTCTCCTGTTTCTCTCCGTAGGTAACCACTGTTTCTAGTTTCTTGGGATAGTCTGTACATAAATGTTTTTATGACCCCAGGAGAGGCGGGCCTTTGCTTGGAAAGGCTTGAGAGCTTGTGACAGAAGGAAAAGATCAAGAAGAGGTAGAGATTCAAGAAGCAAATGAGGGAAATGATTAAAGCCAGGTCTAGAACAGGTGGAAAACGGGCAGAACCCCGATGCAGGTGTAAGTTTTATCAAGACCCCTTTGGAACTAGGAAGGGTGGGCTGGTGGCCGTAGAGGATTTCTGAGGCTGCTTTGCTGAGGGGCCTGGTTTCCTCTGCTGGGGTGGGGGTGGGCAGGGCCGTCTGAGTGGCAGAAGCCTGTGGAGGCGGACTGTTCCTCACAGAAGATACTAAAAGATGTCAAATGGTCACTGTGGCCAGCAGAGGACATAACAGAACTGTCTGAATCTCAATTCAAAAAGGTTTATTGGATGATTTATAAAAGCAGCATCACAATAGCAATTAAAAGCAATTTAAAAATTCAAAAATAAATTTACATACTTGTATTCACAGCATATTATAATCAACAGTTTTCTCAGTCAAGGTGTTTCCAGGTAGTGTTAAAAAAACATAAGCTAAGTTGTAAATCACACGAATGCCTTCATTCAGAGCATGGTCCTGGAAAAACACTGGGAAAGGTGATTGAAGCGACCAGACGTAAAGATGGCTGTGTCCCCGCAGCCTTTAAAAACCACTTAGACCCAAGCTCACCTGAAGGCCGACTGAGGGCAGAGTGAGCTGCTGCGGCTCAACCAGCACAGGTCTCACTCAAGTTTATACGTGGGTCCCCGTGAAGCTCGTTTAAGTGAAGGGGAGCACTACTTGTGATTCACTGGACACCACTTATCTTTGGAAGGTTAGAAGTCCACCAGCAGTTCCCTGCCCTGGGAAGGCTTGAGGGGGCAGAGTGGACCCTGGCCGTGGAGGCCCAGCTGCTGTCTACACACAGCCTCACCCACTGGGTAACAGCCCATGGGCAGGAACGCCATCCATAGACAGGCACTGCCCCTGGGCTTGGCGGCTGCTTTGGGTGAATGCTGGGCACTGGGTCCCTGAAGTCGGGGCGGGAACGCCGGGCAGCTGCTGGGCATGCTTCCCTCAGTCCAGCTGCCAGGCTGGATTATGCAGCAGAGATGTTAACATTTCACACATGTGCTGCAGAGAGCTAGTGACAAATGGTTTTTTGAGGGAGGCAGGACAGAAACAGGTATTTAGCAAGACCTGAGAATTATTCTGTAGTTTCAATCAGCAATGGCATGGGGGAGCCTTTCAGCAACTTCCTTAACATGGCCCTTAGAAATAAATAGAATTTCTACTGTGTGCTGCTGGACCTGCAGTCAACCCACAGTACAGGTCCTTCCATATACATTAATGATCATTAAAATGTTAATTTTACAACACTGGCAACAAGCGACATTTCATGATTATAATCCTTAAAAGCTGATTACAAGGACTTTTTGTCTTGGTATCATATAGGATACTTACATATTTAGATCATCAAAGGCACTTTCAGGTTACATGATTAAATGAAAGTGTACCGATAGAGAGAGCACTATTTTCTGGTTCCTTCAGTGTCTGTGTCCGTGGTAGTCATCGAGAGCCCAGGTCTGCACTTCACCTTTGCCAAACAGTGTAAAGAAGATCGCACCAAATACGTTAATAGCAGCAGCGATACAGAACACGGTTTGCCATTCTCCAATAGTGTTCTAGAAAGACAGACAGAATGAAAAGACCATGAAGAAACTGCTCGAGGTCTACTCTATGTCCCAATAAGAATGAATGAATGATAACAAGGTAGATACAGCTTACCAACAAAATGCTGAGCGACTGCAGGGAGACACTAAGGAGCACCGTATGAAGTGATTCCAATATAAAGTTTGACGGCAGACAAAATGAATGCAAGGTGCTACATGTCAGGATGGCTGTGGTGCTTCTTACCATTAGGTACTGGTTAGGCAGATGTGTGTGCTCCCTCTGAAAATCCACCAAGCTGTACAGGTAGGATTTGTGCATTTAACAAATACCTATGTTAGACTTCAGCAACTAGGGAAGTAGTCTGCCTGAATGCTCCTCCTCATGTTCTTAGGTGGTCCCAAGACTGTGTGTGGGCCTGAGTCTCAGGATGCTTTCTCACGGTCCCGTTTAGTGCCGGGGACTCTGGTGGGGTGCCTCCAGTGGCCAGTGGGAAGCATTGCACAAGGATCCTGGATCGCACACCAAGCAGGCCAGGCATTAAGCGATCCACAAAATGCAATTGTTTAGAGAATTCACTGGTGTAAAAAACTTAAGGAGCTACCGAAATTTCTTGATCATTTGGTTAACTTTAACAACCATTTTTTTGGATTTTTACAGTTTTAATCAAGCATAGGGCTGCATCTGCAGCATTGAAACAAGAAAATCAGGCAGCAGCTTTGGCAAGGAGGGAAAAAAGGTGGGGCGGGTGGGGCTGCGGCTTCCCAGCCAAAGTGAGGCGGTTTCATTGGGAAGAGAGGGAAAACATGGGGAGAGAAAAAGGCAGGGGAAGGACGAAGTTACACTGAAATGAATGCGTTGGGGTGTGAGAAGAAGACCTTGGAAATTCACCCTAAATTTTAGTTACTATTTAGATATGCTAACCGTGCGTCACTATTCTAAAGGAGGAGTCAATCATGATTACGTCTTACAGCAGAAAGAAATGTTTAAGACTGTTTCTCAGAATTTCTAAGACAAAGCAGCTGTTTGATCTACTGGATAAAATAATACCTCAGTGTTATCTGGAGGCAAATGGGGGACTTACATGCCACCAATTGTACCAGAAATCGCACATCACGCCTAGTTCTCCTCACCCCCTTTAAAGAAAAACTCTGCCAGTTATTAGAGAATGCTGTTTTGTTTGCAACAGAATTAAACTTCAAACACACTGTGAATTTTAATGACTCCATTATTTACTTATACTGACTCATTCTGCCAGGTTTTTGAGGCAGTGTAGTAAATTTTAATTGTAAGCAACTGCAATTGTAAAGGCAAGTGTATTTTTCCTTTTCTAAAAACAACATCCCTTCAATAACATTAAACAAATTTAATAACAACATATCCAAAATCCAAATTCAGTGTACAATACTTTTATTCAGGAATCCATCTTACTGTAGATGATCAATAAATCAAATTATTACAAGATAATGTGTTGACCTAGGCTGTTGTGTTACCATGTGCTCCCATGAAGACAGGGTCACATTCCTCTAATGTGTTTCTATTGAGAGACTGTAGGGAAACCAACCAGTGAACAAAAAAGCCTTCTCAGACACCCCTTTCTAAAGGTTCCGTGAGACAAGGCAGTAACACGGAGGCGCCGACTCCTTAGGTTGGGGTTGGAGAGGAGAAAACAAAGGAGCAGCACCTGAGGTGAAGACACACCTGGGGGAAGTCAGTGTCTTTGGTGATAACGTTTGCAGGCTTATCCTAACCTTCGAAGGATGAGATCCGCTGTTAGCTGGATCACAGAAATAAAGACAAGGAGAAATTAAGACTCTATCGGAAACGTAGTTAGACTCTTGAAAAAAATTATTTCCCAAGTCTGTTTGAATTTTTTAACGAGTCAGAAAGATCTGTTGCGATCACTTACTCTGATTTCCTACACAATGTAGATAAGCCCTGCACCGTCACTGACAGATCAGGTCCCATGCCACCTCCCAGCCTTAGGCCATAGCCTCCCGGGACCTACTCTGTTGTAACTGCACTGTCCAGACCACCTGGTGGGTTCCAGCCTCATGTGTCCCATCCCCGGTAGACTGGTCCAGGCCTCTTCTGTATCCATATTCTGTACCGAGGTATTACATTATCAGTCAAACTATGCTTTACAAAGGGGCTTCAAAAAGTGTGTGAACCAACTCCAGTTATCTTTTTACTCCATTTTCCATGACCTTTGGCTACCCCCTTGTAACTGGTTATAGATCTCTAGATGGCGGTTTTTTTTCAAGTATAGAAGATCTTGCCTTTCAAACTTCAGTATCTTGTAGCATATAACAAACACTCTTGAAATGCCTACTGAATAAATGGCTATCTCAAGGCTCACTGACTCACAGGGCAGCCGTTCCATGCAGTACAGGTTTAAGCACAGAACTTTGTTAATGTCACCTCATCACATCTCTTCAGTTCTCTCTGTGGAGTAAGTCTCCATCCTTCAGAGGACCTCTTCAAATATGTGAAGACAATCTTGTCTTCCCTAGTCTTCTGCTCCTCCAACCTCAATTATTTCACCTGTTCTCCATCCATTCTGACCTGATTTCCTGATACCTCATCTCATCCGGAAGGAAACATTGCAGTTTTCACTTGTCCAAATCTAAGACACAAGTGACTCATCTGGTATAAACCACAACTTTTAATACTGGTGTGATTTCAGCTCTCACTGCCATTGAGTGGATGCTGACTCATAGCTATGCTATAGAGCAGGGTAGAACGGCCTGTGAGTTTCCAAGACTGTAACTCTTCACAGGAGTAGAAAGCCTCGTCTTTCTCCTGAGGAGCAGCTGGGGGTTTCAAACTGCTGATCCTGTGGTTAGCAGGCAAACTTGTAACCATCACTCTACCAGGGCTCCTGTGATATCAGCTACACGATCTTACTTTAACTTAGTTCTATTTTTTAGTTTGGTTTTATTGTTCCAAAATCCTAAGATGGATCTTGGAAAAATTCTTTCTTATACATTAGGGCCTCTAGATTTTTGTTGCTATAAAGCATTGCATAAGAACACACACTCAGGATTTTATGCTTTATTAAAATATATTCAACTTTGACACAGATATGCAGCTCCATGGGAAATGATAGACCTTTTCAGTTTATAAGCAAACGATCTACTTACGTTCGGAGTCAGACTCTTCGCAATGACAGGACACACCATCCCTGGAATGGTGGCAAATGTATTCGTGATGCCCAGGAGAATACCCGCATACCTGTAGGAACATGTTCACACAGCTTATTACTTGGTCACCTGTGAGCAGCTTCGCTCAGGCTATTCCACCCGCAGCTGATGTTCTTGGGAGATTTTATGCCTAAATGAAGTGTCTTATAGAAACCGGACTGCATATTTAGCTGGTGAAAAAGCTGCATTTCAAAAGTTAATTGGCATTTTAACATTACACGGGAAACATGGCTGTTGCAAACTCTCCCGGGTAGAGTGATACTGATGATTGGTATCCATTCATAAGACACATACCAGGAAGTTGCATGATCTGTATCATATGTCTTTTAATCTATAGGGTTCCCCTATATTATTTTTTTCTGATTAAACTTTTCACTGAAATAATTACAGATTCACATGAAATTATAAGGAATTATACAGACTGATGAGTTCTTAAAAACAAACAAAAATCTTCAAGAGACCTCCTTGTACACTTTGTGTAGTTTTCTCCAATGTTAGTATTTTGCAAAACTTTATAATCCTGTTTATGAAATCTGTGTTTGATACTTTTGGCAAGAGAACTTAAAAGGTGGTGATGGAGTTTAGTGTTTAAATATTTAGGTGACAAGTCAATGACATCTCCTATTAATTAATTTTTCTTGAAATATTGAGAAATAGACCCACCCACCCCCACACTGCCATCAAGTGGACTCTGACTTATCCTGTCTGGGAGCAGTGGTTCTCCACCTTCCTTACACTGCGACCCTTCATGCAGTTCCTCATGTTGTGCGGACCCCCCAGCCATAAAATTATTTTCATTGCTACTTACTGTCATTTTGCTACAGTTATGAATCGGGTGACCCCTGTGAAAGGGGTCACGACCCACAGGTTGAGAACCATTGGTCTGGGGTTTCTGAGACTGAATCTGGATAGGAACAGCAGCCTCGCCTGTCTCCTTTGGAGGGACTGGGGGGCAGTAACTGCGGACCTGGTGGTCGGCAGCCCAATGCCTAACCCACAGCACTACCAGGGCTGTACTTAGACATACACAAAGTCCAATTAGAGCTTATAATTTTCATAAGGTAATCGGTGTTATTATAAAACAAATTCCCTCTCAAAATTAAAGAAGCTTGGTGTTTCACTAGCCCATAAAGCCTATTGCATGGAATTTCTGGGCGGTATAAGCAGTTAGGTTCCACGACTAGCTGAAAGCTTGGTGGTTTGAACCCACTCAGAAGACCGGCCTGGTGATGTGTTCCGGAGAGCTCCCAGCCTTGCAAACCCTGGGCGGCAGCAGCAGCAGCAGCAGCAGCAGCAGCAATGAGTCAGAGGCAATTCTATGAGGACCAACAACAACATTCTCTCAAGGGAGGATGATACTTGTACAATTTCTATTAGGGTTTAGGATTCTCAATTCCGGCTGTGAACTGCTGAGCTGAAATCTTTCTCCCCTTTTAGATATGGAAAAGTGCTTCCGTGAAAAATTCTACTGAACCTGCCAGTCATCTGCAAACATCACAACTTTAAATGCTCAACACCTGTGCACACAGGCTCTAACGAGAGCAAGAGGCACAGCTCTTTTGAGCTTCTTCCTTAGGGAGTGTATCTTAAATTAACCAAGGCTTGGCAGGACCAGCTTTTTTCTTTTTTTAAACCATTAACACCTTGGCAGTAGGCG